ATCCCGGCCAATTACTTGAGTTTTAAACTCTTTGTTAAGGTGAAAGTCTGCTTCCAATGTGAAGAGTGTACTGTCCCAAGCTTCAGGGGTTTGTACAGCTGTTTTCAGAGATACTTCTAGGGACCTGTAAATTTTCAATTCTTCCAAGTGCTATGATAAGGGGTGAGGTATTTTCTCTCCACCACCACAACAAGCTCCACAGCACCAGCATTCCTCCTTGCCCCAGGACCGCCCCTCAGAACTGTGACCCAGATCCAAGCACCAGTAAAGCAAGAGATTCCTGCCTCAGCACTGGCAAAGAGATTCCTGCAATCCCCCTCTGATCAGCCACTCGATTCCCCGTCTGATCAGCCACTCGATTCCCCCTCAGTCTGTGGGTTGGAAGCTCAGGAAACAGTCACTGCCCCGAGGGCCGTGCTCAGGACTTGCGGCTGAGACCTAGCTCCTCTCTCACAGCAGGCACAGACTTTTCCCACTGACCTTCTAAGTTGTCTTTGGCATTCAGGGGTTGAGAAGTCTGGAAACTGCCACGGCTGCCTGCCATTCAGTCTTCTGAGGCCTGCTACGGGGTCGCTGCAGCCTGCGCGCCCACGCAAAACTGCGCTCTTCTCCCGCCTGGTGCAACATACCTTTCCAATCAACCATCCAGGCTGTCTTTGACTGGAAATTTGTTTCACTCTGTCTTTTTGTGGGTTCTGCTGCTTTAGAATTTGTTTAGAGCCATTTTTTTAGGTATTTAGAGGGCTTTGGGAGAGAGCTCAAGACAGTTACTGCTTTCCCTCTACCATCTTGGCTCCGCCCTGTTAATTCCATTTTTTAAGGAGTACTTTTCTTTAGTGAATTTTTATGCCTCTTTTACCATTAGGCCAATTCTGTTTTCTTAAGGTGTTAGTTTTTTCATTATTTTTTGTGCCTCTTTTTCCAAGCCATTTTTTAGTATATATTTTTTGCATTACTCCATTTCTTTTCCCAGTTTTTCCTCTACCACTCTTATCTCTTTTTTTAACTCAGGAATTCTTGTGGGGTGTGGGCCCAATTAGCATTTTTCTTTGAGGTTCTGTTCACAGCAGTTTTCACATTATTGTCTTCTGAGTTTATATCTTAGTCTTCCCTGTCACCATAGTAGCTTTTTAATGGTCAAGTTCTTTTTTTGTCATTTGCTCATTTTTCCAACCTATTTCTTGACTTTGAATTTTATGTTAAAGTTGATCTCTGCTCACCTGGGGATGGGAAGTTACTGTTCCAAGCTTCAGACTTTTTCATGTTGCTGTTTTTGGAGCTAGTTCCGAGAGTTTGCATGTTTTCAGTTCACATCCAAGGTGGTGTGATTTGAGGAGAGGTGTAATCACTGCTCTCTCCTGGTCTCAGCTCTTCTCTTTACCCAAGAAGGGCTCCTGCTCTCCTGCAGTCCCAAGCACTAGTGCTCCTCTCTGCCTTGGAACTGAGACCAAGGTCCCAGCACCCTTGTGACCAACCAGAAGCACTACTCTCGGCCCTAAATCTGTGACCCAGAATTGCATATGAGCAATACAGTCACCAATCAGAACCAGTTGCACCCAGTGCCAGCAAAGGGTCCCCTGTAATCTCCTTCTGACCAGTTGTCTGACCCCCTTACTGTCTCTGGGCTGAGAGCTCCCAAAGTTTCTGCTGCTGCTTTCACAGTGGCCCCCAAAGCAGTGCTTCTATACTCTGGGCCAGCTTCCACATCGGTGTCACAGACCTTTCCTGCTGACTCCTAAGTTGTCTCAAGCTGGGAATATGCCTCATTTTGACCTTCTGTTGGCTCTGCCACTCCAAAATTTGATTTGGTGAGTTATTTTAAAGTTGTTTGGAGGGGAATGTTGGGAGGGTTCAGCTGGATTGCTGCCTGTATTCTGCCATCTTGGTTCCACCCCTATCTAGCTTAGTACTCTGTTGGGCACTGTATTTTTTTCTATTTTTCCTCTCTTTTGATTTGCCCTATTCTGATAATGGGGTATTGAAATCTCTCACTTTTTTTTTTTTGCTATTCCTTTTTATAACACCCTCAGCCTTTCTTTTATGAATTTTACTGCAGAATTATTAGGTACATCCATATTGTAAATAGATTTTTCTCTCATTTGAATATAAACTTACAGCATAACATAATATTTTTGATTATCTTTCCTAATACTTTCTGGTTAAAATTTGATTTTGCTATTTTCCATACCATTCTTGTTTTTTGTGACTTTGTAACAGCATGGCAAACTTTATAACACCTTTCATATTAAATACAAAGTTTTCTAACTTAAGTGGAAAACAACATATTTGTTAGATTCTATTTTATGCCATTCTAGAATTCATTCTTTTTACTAAAGAACTCATTTTATATTTAGCATTGCAATTGTTAGATTCTTCTTTCCTTCTGGCATTTTATTTCCTTGTCATAAATTGGATAACAATTCAAAAAACTTTTGTTGTTATTAATAACCTAAACCAGAATCAAAATTCTTGTTTTATACTGGTAATATCTTAGTATGTTTCTTTAACTTAGACTTCTCCTTTATCAAGGACAGAAGCTTTTCTTTTTCCCTAGAAATTGTTCTCTCATGTACCTTTGTACTCATCTTATTTTTCCCTTTTTTCTTTGTTTATATAAAACAGTCACATTTTTCATTAACATCTATTTCTTGTTAATTCGAGAAATATTAGTTATTTAAAATTTTTGTTTTGCATTTGAATGCTTAATTATTTAAAGACTTCACTAAAGTGTTTGAACAAGTCTCTATAAATTATATTAAATTAAATTCCCCACTACATTTCAATGTTGTATGTATTGTATTTTTTCTCATCAACCTACATCTTTTTTGAGAATTTCAAAATTGATGTTCCTTGGTATGGTTATTTCTCTTGGTAACTTACATAGTTTTTGTTCTTTTCTTTAGAGTATTAAAATTTAACTATAAACTGGATTCAAACCTTGGCTCCTCCACTTTATATTTATATGTGATGTTGGTCAAATCATTTAATTTCTTTGAGTCAGTTTCCTCATCTGTAAAATGGTGGGGAAAGGGTAGTCTGGGGCATTGGACTGAATGACTTCTGAGGGGTTTTTTTTTTCCTACTCTTAAATATATGACCTTATTATCTTGCCTGGGAGAATTGAATCTTGCCATTTTCTTTGTCAGGGCAGCCAGATGGCACAGTAGATAGAGTGCCAGGCCTGAAGTCAGGAAGATGAATCTTCCTGAGTTCAAATCTGGCCTCAGACTCTTACTAGCTGTGTGACCCTGAACAACCACTCCACAGTATCTTTGCCAAGAAAACCCCAAATGGGATCACAAAGAGTTAGACATGACTGAATAACAATTTTCTTTGTCAGTTATGTTAATCCTTTCTATTTACATTTAGTCATTAGTCTGTTCATTCCAAAAAAGTTTTATTGAACAATTTCCTGGAACATAGTATTAAAAATTTTTTGCTTTTTTAAATTGGGAGGGGGATGTCAGTAAAAGTCTTAACCTGTTGACTTTAATCATTTAAGTCTGAATATTTTATGGTGCTTTTAATAATTTGATGAGCTTGTTTTCCAGCTGTTCTGTGGAGTCTACAGTTCTGTTTTATACAATGATAAACCTGCTGCTTGCTGCCTCATTGATTTTGAACTCTTTCAGGTATGTTCTCCATTCTAAATGTTATTTCCCTCCTATCATTTAAAAGTATCTATTAATTCTAGTTTCAGCTCCTTTCTCCCTTTGTAGCTATCTACAAAAATTCCAATTTGAGGAACACTGAAAGACCAGCCTGCTTAATTATGCCTTTTTTACCTGCCTAAAATCCCTACCACTCTGACTCTGCTAGGTTAGACAATAGCAGCAGTTGTCTCCAGAAAACTAGAGTTAAAATAAATACCTGTTACTTCAGAGAAAACCACCTCTCCTCTTGGCACATCCGACATTGAGAGGATTTGTTTATCAGATAATAATAGGTGAGAACTTGGACCCTGAAGGGTTCAGCCACAGAACAGATTGGTTTCAATGACAGAGGCAAAGTATATTTTCCATACTATTCTTGTTTTTTGTGACTTTGTAACAGCATGGCAAACTCTATAACACCTTTCATATTAAATACAAAGGCTATACTTAGCCTTGGGTGGTGAAAGGTAAGCATGAGAGTGTCTGATCACAGGAGAATTTGTTCTGGCTATGATGTGACAAAACATGAGAAAGGCAATGGATAGAGGGAGGTGAGAAAGAACAAATCCATTCAATTTGCCTAGAATAGACCCTGATTCCAGACTTAATGAAGTGATGAGGAGATGATCATTTCGATAATAGACACGATGATTCGTTGTTGTAGTTGTTGAGTCATTTCAGTAGTGCCTAACTCTCCATGACCCCATTTCGGGATTTTTTGGCAAAGATATTGGAGTGGTTTGCCATTTCCTTCTTCAATTCATTTTACAGATGAGGAAACTGAGGCAAACGGGATTAAGTGACTTGCCCAGGATCACACAGCTAGTAAGTGTCTAAGGTCAGATTTGAACTCAGGTGCTCCTGATTCCAAGCCATTCTATCCACTTCACCACCTTGCTGCCCCCCACAATGATCATAATAATGTAAATATTAAGAACTCTAAAAGGAATCCAAACTTAAATGATTGTTTAACCAAATTTGACTCAAAAGAATAATGAACGCTACCTGCCTCCTCTTAGCAGACTGGTGAGGGACTGTGGGGGAAGCCTGCTACATATGCTTTCACAAGTAGTCACTGTCTCATTTTGGCTCATCTATTTTTATTACAAGGGAAGACTTAATTCCAGAGGACGGGGGTGTGGAGGCTTGCCTACATCTGAAAATTATTGTGATATAAAAACAGGCACCAATAAAACTTTTTTTAAAAGATATGATCATTTCTAGGAGTAAGAAAAGAGAATCATTAAAAAAAAGTGTTTTTTTAAACCATCCACTTATTAGAATCTCACTGACTACTATTGTTAAATTCTAAATTAGCATTATCAATAAAATGCTGTCAGTTGATACCTGTGGCATGAAGATCCACGCACTTGAGAGGTAAACACAGAAAGGTGCAATCACGCTTCCTACACGGCACATCATGCTACCACTTCCTACCGCAAGGGACCTAAAAATGTTAAAAAAAAAATGTTAAGAAAGCAACAGCACAGGAAGTAAGGGGCAGATACAAGACAGAAAACTGGGAAGAATATTTGAACATTGCTGCAATTTCCTGGGTGGAAGGAGTCCACAGGCCAAACTGCATTGATACATGGACTTCCCTCAACCCACACAGTTCATGGTCCCCTCAACACCTTCAAAAGAGATTTTTTAAGAGTTGCTGTGGTCAGAAATATTTATCACCTAATGGCCGGCTTTCTGACAATGAGCCATTCAGAACTCAGCTAGCCTGGGCCGTGGCCTGTAGACCAACAATGGGTCTATGCTTGAAGTGTCCCTGGTTTGGTAGGGTTCTCCAGAATTCACACACCGTTAGCATAGCCACATTGAATCAAGAGAACCCTCCACATTCTGGAAAGACACTGGAGGAGGATTTCTTTGGTAGAGAAAAGGACATAAGAGAAATATTAGATGAATTCAGAAGGAATTCTAAGATAAGATTTTTCAAGAATATAGATATGAAACAAAGTCAATGCATAAGGTTTTGCAACCACGAGAGTCACAGATAGCATTATGCCTCAATTTATGCAAGTGTGAATAGCTGAAAAGTTGTACATAAATCTGATTTTCTTTCACGTCAGGTAGTATTTTAAATATATGACCACTATCTACAGAGAACATCAATATATTTTTTTGTAAAGTAAGAAAGCTTCTTTTAAAGTGAATTATCCAGGGGTAGCTAGGTGGCACAGTGGATAGAACACTGGCCCTAGAGTCAAGAGGATCTGAGTTCAAATCTGGCCTCAGACACATGATACTCACTAGCTGTGTGACCCTGGGCAAGTCACTTAACCTCAATTGCCTCACAAAATAAATAAAGTTAGTCATCCCTCCCTAATAAATAGTACTGTTTCACAAGTTCAAATGTTCACCTGTTGACTTTTTCTTGAAGTAGGATGTACCTCTAGTTGAAAAGAGACCATCTATTTTATTAAAATTCATACCAGCTGCCATTTTAATAGACACTTCATAAATGCTAGTTGATGGGGTGCTTTGAAGTTTGCGAAGCACATCACAAAGCTGACCTCATAACAACTCTATGAGGAAGATATTTTCATTATTCCCATTTTATAGATGAGAAAACTGAGGCTTGAAGAGATAAATGAAGTGGCTTGCCCATGGTCATGTAACTAATTAAGTGTCAGGGCAGGAATCAAACCTCTTCTCTTCCTGTCTCCAATTCCAACATACCATCTCCTATGGCCACACAGCACAACTATGAGACACACATCCACACTAGTGGCTTAAGGCAATCCCTCTTCTCCTTAGCCAATGGAGATTGACTGAATTCTTCCTTGCCCTGAATTATAGAAAATGCCCTACAAAAAGAACTTTTAGAATTTGTAAGTGTCCCAGGATTAGGTCTCATCTCATTAAATGTGAATGGGTTTCCTTGTACTCTATAACTGGGCATGTTGCTTAGATCTCTCCCACCTTCTTTCCTACCTATAGTCATATCTAGGTTCACAAATGAGGCCTAAGGACCTCAGAATACAAGGAATAAATAGCACCATTGGTTTCTGCTTTCATGTAGAAGGGAGTATAGCCAATTATCCCCTGCAGGCCACCACCTGTTTTTGTACAGCCCACGAGATAAGAAAGGTTTCTACATTTAGGATCATAGTTTGTCAAACATTAAAAGAACAGCAGTGATATATCATGAGAAAATAGGCCTCCTGTGGTATAAGAAATAGAGGCAGTCATAGGATATTGGGAATTAAAGCTAGAAGAGGCCCAAGACAATTGAGTTTTAAAGTTCTTTAAAAAGAGATTTTTAAAATAAGTGTTTCAAAAATTTTTTTTAGTTTTTTAGTGCCAATGAACCATAGTTGATACTTAGCACAGTGCCTGGCACATAGTAGGTGTTTAATAAATGCTGGCACTTATCACAGTGCCTGGCACATAGTAAGTGCTTAATAAATGTTTACTGACTAATCAATAATCACAACCTTAGAGTTACAGTACACCAGAATTTCTTTGACCTCAGGCTCTCTTTCTATATAGAAGATATCTGGGACATCTGTTTATTAAGTAGCCAATTAAACAAATGATGCCTAACTGTGACGTACCGTAAAGTCCTCTTTCAATGACTAGTTGGGGAGTGGAGGTGAGTTTGGGTTCTCAGTAACTATATCAGCAGAGTGCAAACCCTGGTATGCCCTATCGAGTGACTTACCAACTGAAAAGATTGTGAGTTTAGGCCTGGCAACTTGGATGGCTGTCATCTGTCATCATTAGGCAACAAGCCAAGAGGCTCATTATCAGTTTGGTCAGTGTGGGAGAATAACAAATTTTTAGTCATAATAAATCTCACAGCTCACCTTCTGAAGCATAGTGGAGAGCCGCTATCTGCATCAGGGAAGGCAGCACCCACAAACAAGTCACACCTTGAAGTATCAGATGATGTACATTCAACGATAACAGGAAAACAGGAAGCTAAATCGCCAACTCTCACCTTATGAATGTTGGATACAGTTCTGCCGTATACAGGTAAATGAGGCCAAATGCAACACCAATGGCAAACTTTCCTGCCATATTTGCCAAAACATTCAAAACACTGCAATGCTGTGGAAACAATGAAAATGTGTCATTCTCAGTTTGCAATGACCTTTTGACTCATTATCTTCTTTGAAGCTCATGATAACCCTGAAAGATGAGTACTACAGGTATGGGTCCCCCATTTTACAGATGAAGAAACTAACAGAGAATCCAATTCACATTATAGCTAACAAGTGTTGGAGCTGGGATTCTAACCCAAGGATCTCCTAACTCCAAGTCCTGCATGCTTGTCTCTACCTCGGGCTGCCTCTCTCTTTTTCCTGTTCCTTCTTTATTCACACTGTCACCACTCAGGGGTGCCTAGAGCCTAGAGACAGCTAGGTGGTGAAATGGATAGAGCACATATCAGGAGTCAGAAAGACCTCAGTTCAAAACCTGCTTCAGACACTTATTAGCTATGTGGCTTTGGACAAGTCACTTAACCTCTGTCTCAATTTTCTCATCTGTAAAATGAGGCTAATAATAGCTCCTACTTCACAGAGTTTTTGTGCTGATCAAATAAGACAATATTTGTAAAGCACTAAGCACAATTCGTGGCACATAGTAGGCACTTCATAAATGCTTATTCTTTCCCTCCCAATGCAAACCTGCATCATCATTTTTCTTCTGGCCTGTTTTATAAGCTTTATACCTAGTTTCCCTGTCTTCCCTCTCTCTAATACCTCTTTTGCACCACTTTGAAATTATTTTCCTAATGCACAGCTCTGACTACATCCCTCCCCTGCTCAAAAATCCTCAGTGGCTCTCTATTGACTTTAGGACAAAATAGCAACTCAGATGGGCATGTAAGGCTCAAAATAGTTCCAAAATAAGTTTGCAGCTTTATTTCCCTTCTCAGGGACTGCCCTGCAGCCAAGCTAGACCCTGCTCTCATTCTGCATGCTCCCACCTGATAGAAGAGCATTTCATTAATTCAGGAAACCCCCTCTGACCCAGAACATTCTTCTTCCTCATTCCTCCAGCTCACCCACAAGTCCTCCTCATTTAAGGCACACCAAAGGTGCCAGTTCTTCCATGGTACATTTCTCATTCCCTTCCACCTGAATGCATTTTCTTAGCCCTCAAATTTTCTTAGAACACTTTGGCTCTCTCCTTTGCCCATAATATACTCTACCCTGGACTATACTGGTTTGTATGGTGTATTCCTCCTCAAGCAGCTAGGTGGTACAATGGATAGAGAGCCAGGCCTGGAGCCAGGATGACTCATCTTCCTGAGTTCAAATCTGGTCTCAGATACTTACTAGCTGTGTAACCCTGGGCAAGTCACTTAACCCTGTTTGCCTCAGTTCCTCATCTATAAAATGAGCTGGAGAAGGAAATGGCAAACTACTCCAGTATCTTTGCCAAGAAAACCCCAAATGAGGTCACAAAGAGTTGGACATGACTAAAAAGACTGAACAATTCCTCCTATAAGAATGTAAATTCCTAGGGGCGGCTAGGTGGCGCAGTGGATAGAGGACTGGCCCTGAAGTTAGGAGGATCTGAGTTCAAATCCAGCCTCAGACCAAACACTTGATACTTAACTAGCTGTGTGACCCTGGGTAAGTCACTTAACCCCAATTGCCTAAAAGAAAAAAAAAATAATAAGTAGGTCAAACGAAAGCTAGGAAAAAAAAAAGAAAAAAAAAAGAAAAGAAAAAAGAATGTAAATTCCTAGCCTATTGGACATTATTCCCTTTTATGTACTTTATATTCCAGCCAAACTGGACTACTCCCTATTCTCATATGGGGTTTGTATTGCTATTCCTTTTTGTATTTCTAGCATCCACACATAGTAGGCACTTTACAAATGTTTTCTGAGTCAAATTGGGAACCAAAAAAATGGGTTCCTTGGATATATTTAGGTAATTTGGGAGGTGCATTTGCTCTCCCAGATATGAGGGAGAGCAAATGCTCCTGAAAGAGATCCCCAAAGGAAAACTCCTAGGAATATTGTAGTCAAATTCCAGAGTTCCTAGGTCAAGGAGAAAATATTACAAGCAGCCAGAAACAATTCAAGTATTATGGAAACACAATCAGGATAACACAAGATTCAGCTGCTTCTACATCAAGGGACTGCAGGGCATGGAATATAATATTCCAGAGGGCAAAGGAGATAGGATTACAACCAAGAGTCACCTACCCAGCAAAACTGAGTATAATCCTGCAGGGGAAAAAATGGTCATTCAGTGAAACAGAGGACTTTCAAGTATTCTTGATGAAAAGACCAGAGCTGAATAGAAAATTTGATTTTCAAATACAAGACTCAAGTGGAACATGAAGAGGTAAACAGGAAAGAGAAATCGTAAGGGGCTTATTAAGGTTGAACTGTTTACATTCCTGCATGGAAAGACGATATTTGTAACTCATGAGACCTTTGTCAGTATTAGAGTAGTTGGAGGGGAAAAAATTATATGTACATATATATAGATACAGATAGATGGATAGATAGAGGGTACAGGGTGAGTTGAAAATGAAGGGGTCATATCTGGAGAATAAAATTAAGGGGTGAGAGAGGATTATACTAGGAGAAGGAGAAAGGGAGAGGTAGAACGGGGTAAATTATCCCACAAAAAAAAAAAACAAGAAAAGAAAAGGCTTTTATAGTGGAGGGGAAACAGGGGAAGGTGAGTGGGAATGAGTGAATCTTATTCTCATAGGATTTGACTTAAGGAAGGAATAACATACACACTCAATTGGGTATGGAAATCTGTCTTACCCTACAGGAAAATGGGGGGGGAAGGGGACAAGAGAGTAGAGGAATGATAGAGAGGAGGGCAGATGGGGAAAGGGAGTAATCAGAAGCAAATAATTCTGAGGAGGGACAGGGTCAAAAGAAAGAATAGAATTAATAGATGGGTAGGATAAGATTAAGGGAAATAGAGTTAGTTTTTCACAGCATGTCTACTATGGAAGTGTTTTGCATAAATGCATATATATAACCTATATTTAGTTGCTTGCCTTATCAATGAGGGTGGGTGGGGAGGGAGGAAGGGAGAAAATTTGGAACCCAAAGTTTTAAAAACACATGTTTAAAAAAAATGTTTTCACATGCAACTGGGAAATAAGAAATACAGGAAATGGGGTACAGAAATCCATCCTGCCCTACAGGAAAATTGAAGGGGAAGGGGATAAGAGAAGCAGGGGGGGAGAAATAGAAGGGAAGGCAGACTAGGGGAAGGGGTATTCAGAATGCATGCCATCTTGGGGTGGGGGGAAGGCAAGATGGGGTGAAAATTTGGAACTCAAAATCTTGTGGAAGTAAATGTTGAAAACAAAAAAAGAATTACCATAAAAATAAATAAAAAGAAAAAAAAGAAAATAATCAGCATAAAGATGGCAATTTAAAAAAAAAAACAAAAAACAAAAAAAAAAACAAATGTTTTCTGAGTCAAATTGGGAACCAAAAATAATGGGTTTCTTGGATATATTTAGGTAATTTGGGAGGTGCATTTGCTCTCCCAGATATGAGGGCAGGTTACCACTACAGTATAACCTATACTCACTGATCTAAAAGGGCTCTCAAAAAGTAATAGGATCTTAGGTTCATCACAGTGCAAACTTGGGGCAAGTCATTTAATATCTATGGGCCTCAGTTTCCTCACTTGTGGACTGGCAACAATAATATAGCGGGATCAGGAAGACCTGCGTTCAAATCCAGCCTCAGACACTTCCTACCTATGTGACCCTACGTAAGTCACTTCACTTCTTTCTGCTTCAGTTTCCTCACCTATGAAAGAGATAATAATAGCATCTACATTCCAGGGTTTTGATGATAAAGTGAGATAATATTCATAAAATACTTTGCAAAGTACATACATACAGCTTAAAGAGCTATATATATTATTAATGTTATTATTATTACATGCACAATTGTTACATGGCAGCTATCTTTCCCCTAGTAAAGTGAATTAAACTAGAATATATTTTATTTTGAGAATGTGAAAACATCACAACACTGCTTGAGACAACTGGAGATACAACTGGAGGTGTCACCAAGCCAGTGCTAAAAAGCACAGCCTTATATAGAAGATTTCCTAAGAAGGAAGCCTGTTCCATACTTTGAAAAGAATACAGAAAGTATAGAGAACTTGGAAGAAAATATTGCCTATTGGAGATCAAGTGAAATGAACAGTCTAAAAAGTCTCACATTAAAAGCATTACAACCATGCCTGGATCATCCATCAGTATAATTCTATCCCCCAAAGAAAAATTCCTGATAGTAGTCCCTTATCAATCAATCAATAAGCACTTATTAAGTGCCTACTATGTGCCAGCGATTGTGTGAGGTGCTACAGATACAAAGACAAAGGATGAGACAATCCCTAAGAGGAATTCTCATTCTAACAGGGAAGCAACAAAGGCATATGTAAGTAGATACCAAATAAATATAAAAAGAACAAATATAATGTAGTTAAATAGAGGGTAGTTTGGGAGGGAGGGAGGTAGCAGTTAAGGACATCAGGAAAGGTCACTACCAAGAGATTCAGCCTGGAGATGGACTGTTGTGTGTGAAGATCAATGGTCAGTTTGGTTGGATCAGAGTCAAAGAGGCTGAGGAATACACAGTGAGGTGAGAAAAACAGGTTGGGCCCAGGTTGTGATGGCCTTTAAAAGCTAAACAGGAGTTTAGAGTTTATCCTGGAGGCAATATGGAGGCCCTGCAGTTGATTGAGTAGAGGAATAGTAGGGTCAGACTTGGGCTAATGGAAAATCACTTTGACAGCTGTGCGGAACTTCCTAGATTTGGACAATTTGACTGTAGACATGGGATAATCATTTAAAGGGGAAATACAGTCAAAGAGAACATATATTCTCTCAATCTTGAAGGGCAAAGCCTTCTGTAGCTCCCTAATGCCTTCAGGATAAAATATTCACTCCCCATGGCATTTAAGGCCCTCCACTCTGGCTCTCTACCTCCTTTCCTAGCTTATTGGACATTATTCCCTTTTATGTACTTTATATTCCAGCCAAACTGGACTACTACCTATTCTCATATGGGATATTTCATTTCTCACCTCTGCCATAACTCAACAGCTACAACAAATTCCACCCTCCAAATTTGCCTCTCTGAAGCTTTATCTTCCTTCAAGGCTCAGTACAAGAGCCCATTCCCGACTTTGGGAAGCCTTTCCCATTTGCCCAGAATTACTATTTCTCTCTTTCACTGAACAGATTATCTTATTCTTACTTATCTATGTACATGTCCTAGCCAACAGGTTAGAAGCTCCTTAAGGGCAGGAACTGTTTCAATTTTATCTTTGTATCCCCATTGCTTAGCACAGTGTCTGGCACTTCAGAAAGATTTTTAATTGGATGAACTTCAGTTCTGCTCTAAATAGAAGTTATATTTAAATCTCAAGTAATTTGACTTCCAAAAAATTGCAAAATCACTTACAACTACTAGATCATGCTATGTCATATATTTCTAATGTCTAATGACTGCTGACACTATTTCTTGATGAGCACAGCAGCTATCACTAAAACATTTCCAATCTCTTGACAGTATCTATTGTTGAATATGGAAAGAAAGCTCATGCTTATAAACCCACTTACTTTACCTCTAATTCAATATATGCAACAGAAAAACAAGCATTTCTATAGTGCCTACTGTGTGCTAGACACTGTTAAGTGCTTTACAAATATTATTCATTTGATCTTCACAACAACCCTGTAAGGTAGACGTTGTTATTACTCCCATTTTACAGGTGAAGAAACCAAGGCAAACAGAGTTAGGTGACTTGCTCAGGGTCACATAGCTACTAAGTGCCTCAGTCTAGATTTGAATTCAGGTCTTCCTAACTCCAGGCCTGGCACTCTATCCAAATGGCAGGCTCATTTCTTGGAAAATAAGATTGAAGAAGTGGTTCTCTAAGTATGAGATATGAGTTTCCCTAGGTGAGCCATGAAATTTTGGATGTTATACTATTTCATATAAAAGAAAATATATAAATAATTTAATATGAATTTTACTTAGCTAGCATGCATAGTCTAAGCACTGTTTTTTTTTAAATAAACAAAACATGCCTAATATTATGTATGCATTCACCTTGAAATACACCAGACCTTGAACTGACAAAGAACTCTGCTCTCACAGAAAGGGAATCACGCCAGTGACAGTCACCCAATTTTCCTGTAGTGCCAACTTAAACATTCAGTGTGTCTCAATTCCTCCCAGCAAAGAATACTGAGCTTTACACCAAGAAAAGTTGGAGAACCACTGATTTAAGATAACAAACAACTCACCTGAGGGATCAGCATAATCATGGCACAGATCAGGGCACTAGAGATAAGAAATGGCGTCAGGGTATTTCTTCTTCCAACTCTGTCCATTCCGAGGCAAGCAATTACATAAGCAGGGAGCTCCACAGCACCTGTCAATGGAAAATTTAGCAAACTGTAGAGTAAGATAAGAGCAGCTAGGTGGCATAGTGGATAGAGTGCCAGGTCTGGATTCAGGAAGACCCAAGTTCAAATTCAGCCTCAGACACTTACTAGCTCTGGGACCCTGGGCAAGTCACCTAACCCTGTTTGTCTCAGTTTCCTCATTGGTGAAATGAACTGGAGAAGGAAATGGCAAACCACCCCAGTGTCTTTGCCAGGAAAAGCCCAAATGGTGTCACAAAGAGTCAGAATGACAAATGAACACTAACAAGGGCAAGAAGACAGACTCTATCTGTCAAAAAGAAGAGAGGAGCTGAGGTTCCCATCCCTGTTGAAGAACTCTAGATTTGACATCAAAACACCAGGATTCAAATCTTACTACATGCCACTGTCTGTCTAATCTTTTTTTTTTTTTTTTTTTGGCTTTTGGGTGAGGCAATCAGGGTTAAGCGACCTGCCCAGGGTCACATAGCTAGTAAGTATCAAGTATCTGAGGCTGGATTTGAACGCAGGTCCTCCTGACTTCAAGGCCAGAACTGTATTCACTGCGCCACCTAGCTGCCACTGTCTGTCTAATCCTACTACATTCTCTGTCTAACCTTGGACAAGTTAATCTCTCTGGACCTCACTTTCTCTATCTGTAAAGTGAGCAGGTGAACCTAGACGAGCCTAAGGTTCCTCCCAGCTGTAACTCCTATGACTGACATAAAATGAAGAACTCTTCTGAACCTATTTTTAACTGGATTCACTTTTATTTATGCCGCTGGCTACAGGCCCGTGGTTTTTCTGACCCTTTTGCAAACATTGATTTTGGAATAATAATCATATCCTTAGAAAAGACATCCTCTAAACTTACAGATGTTCTGCCTGTAATTTAACAAAGGTTTAAATAAGGATAGCATTTTCATGGGAAAATAAATTCTAGCTACAAAGCAAACCCTTCAATCCTGGGATCCCAAGTGAATCTTTCCAAAGGGACTCTTCCCCTCATGCTCATCCCTCTTGCCTAATACCAAAAAAAAAAAAATTTTCACTGCTACTGTCATAGGAAGTGGGTCCTCCAAGCAATGTAGCTTGGCTGGAAGCTAGCTTATAAATATTTCTGTAACAATTGTGGTGGCACAATAGATAGAGTGCCAGGCCTGGAGTCAGGAAGATTCATCTTCCTGAGTTCAAATCTGGCCTCAGGCACTTACTAGTCACGTGACCTTAAGCAAGTCACTTAACCCTGTTTGCCTCAGCTTCCTCATCCGTAAAATGAGCTGGAGAAGGAAATGGCAAACCACTCCAATATCTTTGGCAAGAAAAGAATCAGACACAACTGAAACAATCGAACAACAACAATTTTTACAGCATCATGGAATCATAAGCTAGGAGCTCTCATTTTACAGAGGAGAAAACTAATTCAGAGATTGTGACTCATCCCAGGTCACACATTTAGGAAACGAGGACTCAAATTCAGCCTTTCTGACTCTTAGTGTGAACCTCTTTGACTCCCTGATACCCTATCAAAGAGAAAGAAGAAATTGTACGGAAAGGATTGAGCTTATTAAATACAAGAAGAATTTCTGGACAACAAAGATAGCCAAACACCAGAAAACTTCACCAAGGGTGGTTACTGAGACTCTTTCTTCAATGGTCTTCTGAGGGAGGACTGTTTAATAAAAATAGCTAGCATTTATATAGCACTTTTAAGGTTTGCAAAGTACTTTACAAATATCTTACTTTATCTTCACAATAACCCTGGGACCAAGGTTCTATTATTATTATTCTCATTTTACAGAAGAAAAAACTGAGGCTGAGACAAGTTAAGACTCGGGGGTGGGGAACCTGCAGCCTTGGGGCCACATGTGGCCTTCTAGGTCCTTGGGTGTGGCCTTTAGACCAAGCCCAAGTTTTATACAACAAATCCTTTTATTAAGGGGATTTGTTCTGTGAAGCTTAGATTCAGTCAAAGGGTCGCACTTGAAGACCTAGAGGGCCACATGTGGCCTTGAGGCCACAGGTTCCCCACCCTTGTATTTGTTCAGGGTTACATAGCTAATAAGCATCTGAGGCTGGATTTAAACATAGGTCTTCTTAATTCCAGTCCCAGTGCTCCATCCACTGTGCCACCAAGCTGAAAGAGACATATTTTGAAATACAGGAAATGTAAAAACACAAGTTTTGTGTGTATGTGTGTTTTTTTTTAAATAAAGAGAGGAAAAGGGAGAGAGAAGGTAGAGAAGAGGAGAGGGTGATAGATAACATAACCTAGGCTACCTTATACTGTAATTATTTGCATACAGGTCTTAGCCCTCACACTAGAATGCCAAACTAGAGGCCAAAAACCATAGTGGTTAATAATTACCGAGTGATATTAGTTGAACAAATCAATAATACTATTTTTATCATTCTAAAGAATTTTCCCCCAAAAAATTGCCTTAGTGGCAAAAGTATAATATTCTGGGGTTCCGAAACAAACACTAAAGACTTGTCCTTTATTTTTTGTTACAAGAGATGATTTGTTAAGTAGGGAGGGGACAGAGAAAACAATTTACTAGGTACCTACTATGTGCCAGGCACTGAGTTGAGTACTTTACAAATATTACCTCATGTTATCCTCACAACAAGCCTGTGAGGTAAGTGCCATTACAATTTCCATTTTCGATCGAAGAAACTGAGGCAAACAGAGGTTAAGGGACTTGTCCAGGATCACACAGCTAGTAAGTGTCTGAGGCCAGGTCTGAACTCAGTTCTTCCTGACTCCAAGCCCAGTGGCGTATTAAATGTGCCACCTACTTGCCCCTAAGTGCCTCAGTAGGGAGGTGGGGAAGAATATATTCAGAAATAATTTGACATAAAAATAAAATCCATTAATAAAAAAAGATATTGTTTGAAGAACAGACAGTGCCCGTTAACTTTTTTTTTTAGTGAAAAATAAATAAACCTTCTGAGAATATCCTCCTTGTTGCACATGTGTAACTATTGTGCATGAATTCTTTGAGTAGTACATGTGCCGTTAGTCTCAGAGGCTCTCTGAACTACAAAACAATGTACTAAGGCACTGATAATCATTCTAGTATCAAGTGAAGCTGGGGTGAGGGGAGGTGAGAGTGGTGAATGTTTAATAGCTTAAGAGAAATTAGTAATATGCCTAGGTGGTCCTGGTTGGTTAGGGTGTAGAGGCATTGTCTGCATGTATTTGTTAGTTTTGTCTTTCCACTTAGGTCTGAACCCTGATGATGTCATGAACAATGCCCACCTCTTTGGTAGTGACCTCCAGCCTTTCTGAAAAGAGAATTAATCATTTTACTCTGAGAAATGGGAACATATCAAGACATATCCAGAGATCATCAGATATATCCCAGTGTGTCAAAAGACCAGGCCTGAGAATCACAGCCATACCCAAGCAATTTCAAAAATCTGTAACTTCAAAGGTTTATGTACTATGCAGATTGGGGGGAAAAATTCACTACAATCATTGCTCAGTAATCTGCATGAACGGCAAAGACATTGAATGATGCAAGACAGTAAATAAGCCAAAATAATTTACATTCAGTTTTCGAAAGAATTTTGGCTATTACATGGGCAGTGCTTGATCATTTGGGAATTTATGCTACTAATCAATATAGCAAATGTCTCCCTCGTCTTCTCCTTTTCCTCCTATTCCTTGACTTTGAAACCTGTATAGGGCTTTCCTTGTGAAAACCCCATGAGATACCTTTGTTACCAGGTTATAAATGGAACTGAGGTCTTGAGAGGAAGATTAAATTGGTCATGGTCACATAGCTAAATGTCTGAGCTGGGATCTGAGCCCAAGTCTGTGTAGCATTTCCCAAACAGATTCACAAAAGAGTCTGAAGCAGAGATGAGCCATCTCTTACAAATTTGCTGGTTCACTCATTCCTTGAGCAAAGGAATCCAGTAATTATTTTGTCTTAAAAGCTATCTTTTTGGTTCCCCATACAGTAAACAGAATCCCATTTATGACAATTAACTACCTAATAAACCAAGAAAGTAATAATAACTGGAATTCAAGATTTTGCATGGAAAATCCACAATGCAAATAAATCTTCCCACAAATAGTCAGGAGTGCAGCATAGCATATGCAAAAATGAAGACTACTAAGTTTTCAATAGTTTACAAATCTGTACTTTTGTCTAAACTGGGACTTGCACGTTGAGTACTACCAGAGCAATACTGGAAGCAATTCTATCATGCCACTACAAAGGAATAAAACATGCCTCATATTCAGTAGCATGATAACATGCAATTTTATCTACTGCAATTTGGCAGGGAAAGGTGGAAAAGTCATTTTACTGGCTAAATGACTACAGTAAAAATAAATCACATTTTTGAGATCAGACAGAAGCCACGATAATGTGGTTAGCAGTCACGTTCTTAGAATAAAAGGATAATGTAACTATGCTACACAGATCTATTGAAACTGCCAAGTTATTAACTAGTCACATGACTGTCATCGTAAATTGGGTCAATATTTACCTATGAGGAACAGGTTTAAATATTCATTGCCTCCCAGGGTAACAGAACTCAAAGAAAATACATAGTATCCCAAACTGCCAGTAAACCAAATGAGCCAGACTGTGAGGGTCCTCCTTGCAATATTCCAGTTACAAAACAGATGAAGTATATTGTGACTCCTGGGTGCAGACACGACATCCCCAGTGGTGGTGCCAATATCACCACCCTGTTCCACCAAAAGCAGGTCAGACACATTACAAGAGTGTGTTCCATTCCATTTTGCTATCATATCAATTACTGTCTGTGCTTCTTCACATCTTCCTTCTGAGAGAAGCCAAAATGGTGTTTCAGGCAAAGCCCAGCAGCATAAGACAAAGGGAAGAGTTGTCACGGAAAGACAAATCTGATAGAGCCACCAGGTCCGGACCAAATATCCCATCAGAGCCACTACCATAATGCCGACCGCAAAAAAGGCATGGACGTGCATAGACGCCCATGTCCGAGCTTTAATACCGATGAATTCTGTCACATAAACAAATACCACCACCAGATAGCCGCTGGCAGCCTGGGTGGGGAAAAGAAAGAGACATTAGTTCAGCCAGCACAGCTTAATAAAGAAAGAAGGGTTGCCAGCGAAGATTATGTTTATCTTTACTCTAATAATGGAGACCATCCACCTGTAAATGACATTCACATGATGTGCTATGGAGGGAAGAAAGAAAAAATGACAAGAACAGATTTCTAAAGTTTTCAAACAGCATTCAATTCTCTTTTGCTTTAATTACTTGCAAATAGCATTCAGGTTTCTCCTTTCTCCTTAATTACGGGGATTACCCTTCTTTACATAAACATCCTCTCACTCATCTCTCTAACTCCCTCCCTTATGTTTACTTAGTAATTCTCTTTAGAGGGCACGCAGCATGTTGTTGAGTTGTTTCAGTCACGTCCAAACTCTTCATGATCCCATTTAGGATTTTCTTGACAAAGATACTGCCATTTCCTTCTCCAGCTCATTTTACAGATGAGGAAACTGAGGCAAACAGAGTTAAGTAACTTGCCCAGGGTCACACAGCTAGTGTCTGAGGCCAGATTTGAACTCAGGAAGATGAGTCTTCTTGACTCCAGGCCCAGCATTTCATCTGCTGTACCACCTGGCTGCCCAACATGCAGTATACATAGCCTGTAATAAGTCACGTTAATTTATTAAGTGCCTACTATGTGCACGGCTTTTTGCTAAGCATTGGCTACAAAGAGAGGCAAACAACAGTACGTGCTATTAAAGAACTGAAAGTCTAAGATAGTTTTAACGACTATGTACAAACAAGATAGGTACAGGATAAACTGGAAATAATCTCGGAGGGAAGGCACTGGGATTGAAGAAGGTGGGATTTAGCTGAGACTTATAGAAAGCTAAGGTAAAGTCAGGAGGCAGAAATGAGAAGGGAGAGTATTCCAAGCATGGGGGACATCCAGTAAACATGGGGAGTGAGGAGATGAAACGTCTATTGCAAGGAACAGCAAGGAGGCCACTGTCATTTGATCACATTGGAGAGCTGGTAGATGGCACAATGGATCAAGCAATGGACTTGGAATCAAGATGTATCTTCCCGAGGTCAAATCCAGCCTCAGACATTTACTAGCTATGTGACCCTAGGCAAGTCACTTAACCCTGTTTGCCTCAGTTTCCTCATCTGTAAAACGAACTGGAGAAGGAAATGGCAAACCACTCTAGTATCTTTGCCAAGAAAACCCAAATGGGGTCATGAAGAGTCTGATATGACTGCACAAAAACAACAACAAAAGATGTAAGACTGGAGAGGTAGGAAGGAAACAGGTTTTGAAAAACAAACACCAAAACATTTATGTTTTATTCAATCCTGGGGATAACAGGGAGTTTACTAAATGAGATGGTGGCATGGTCAAACTTGCACTTTAAGATCATTTGACGGTTGAGTAGAGTTGGGAGAAACATAAGGCAGGGAAATCAACTAGCAAGCTAGAATATTACAATATTACAATAAGGACATGAGGGCTTGGAGCAGGGTAACAGGAGTCTTGAGATGGGGGCTTAAACAAGGTAGATAGTGAAAGTAGAATAACTTGGTGATAAGTTGGATATAAGGAGTAAAAAAGACTGAGATTCATCCAAGATGACCCTTGCGTTGTAAGCCTCACTAACTAGGAGGATGGTCATATCCTCAAAAGCAACCAGGAAATTAGGAAGAAGGAAGGGTTGGGGAGATGTTCTGTTTTGAACATTCTGAATTTAAGATGTCTATGGGGTTTCTACTTTGAGATGTCCAGTAGGCAGTTGAAGATTTGAGACTGGAGGTCAGGAGACAGGGCAAACAGATTTGAGAATCAACTGCATAGAGATGATATTTGAATCCATGGGAGCTGATGAAATCATTAAGTAAAATAATATACTACAAGGAGAAGAAAAGAGAGTTTGGGACAGAACCTTGGGAGACACCCAAGGGTGAGATGGAAGAAGATCCAGCATAGGAAGTGGAGGAGGAATTGCCAGCCAGGTAGGAGGAGAACCAGGAGAGAGCAGGGTCACAAAAACCTAGAAAGAAAAGAATATTAAGAAGAGGGTGATAGGGACAGCTAGGTGGTGCAGTGAATAGCAGTGATCCTAAAGTCAGAAGGATCTGAATTCAAATCCTGCCTCAGACACTTACTAGCTGAGTGACCCTGGGCAAGTCATTTAACCCCAATTGCCTCCACACACAAAAAGAAGAAGAGGAGGGTGATAGATCAGGTCAAAGGCCACAGAGAGGGCAAGAAGGATAAAGACTGAGAAAAGGTCCTTACATTTGTCAATTAAGAGATCACTGATAACTTTGGAGAGGATTTGAGTTCCAGTTGAATGATGAGGTCAAAAGCTAGACTGCAGAGAGTTAAGAAGACAGTGACAGGAAAGTCAGTGGAGAGAACAATCGTAGTCAGCCTTCTCAAGGAGTTTAGCTACAAAAGTGAGGAGAGATATAGGATGATAGTTAGCAGAGATAGATCAGATTAGGATTTTTTTAAGGATGGGGGAGAGATGTGCATTTGTAGGCAGTAGTGAAGTAGTCAGTAGACAGAAAGAGATTGAAAATAAGTGCTTAATATTTTTCATTCATTAATAATATTTAACAAATGCTTTCTCATTTATTCATTCGTTCATTCATTTATATACCACTGTCCTCCCTCCATTGGTTTACCATAAACAGGCAGAGAACCACAAAATAGCAAAAATATATAATACATTTTTTGGTAAACATAAATGTTAGAAGACATTTATCTTTTGATTTTAAACAAAACACTATAGAATTTGTTTTAGCTAGCTTCTTATTAATGTCCATTTATATTAATCTCTCATCTAATGTCCTTCTATATCTCCACAAATTACGTTCAATAAATGTTTGCTGCTGGGAATGATAATTTTTTATTCAGTCATTTGAGTCATGTCTGACTCTCTGTGATCCCATCTGGGGCTTTCTTGGCAGAGATACTGGAGTGGTTTGCCATTTTCTTCTCCAGCTCATTTTACAGACGAGGAAACTGAGGCAAACAGGGGTAAGTGACTTGCCCAGGCTCATACGACTAGGCTGAGGCTGGATTTGAACAGGAGTCAGGAGTCAGGAAGACTCCAAGACTGGTGCTCTATCCACTGTATCACTTAGCTGCCCGTAGGAATAATAAATAATGGACAAATTTCATTCATCTTCCCTTCATTAGCAATTTTTTATCTTGGAGACTAGCCCATGAGGCAGGCATTAGTACCATTCACATTTACTAGAACGACCTCTTCACTACATCAACACTCTCTTTCCTACTGACTGTCCCTATCTCTAGGCTTAGAAAATTGAACCATCTGTGTGTCCTTCATAAACAAAAAAACTCATGAGATTTAAAGAAAATGGAAGAAAGAAAAGCATTATTAAGCACCTACTAAGCGCCAAGAACTATGCTAAGTGCTTTATAGATATTTTATTTGATCCTCACAACCAACCTAGGAGGTAAGTGCTATTATGATCTCCATTTTACAGTTGAGGAAACTGAAACAGAGAAAGGTTAAGGGACTTGCCCAGGGTCACACAGCTAGGAAGTGTCTGAGGCTGGATTTGAATTCAAGTCTCCCTAACTCCTGGGCCAGCACTCTAGCTACTTCACCACCTGGCTGCTTCTAAAAAGGATGAGAAAACAAGTCAGAACACCAGATTTTATTTTTGCCTCAGGATTACCTTTGTGATTGCAGGCAAGTCAATTAATGTATCGGTACCTCAGTTTCCTTTTCTTTAAAATGGAGAAATTTAATTTGTACCACGTTGCTGCGAGAAAACCCCTTGCAAAGCTTGCAGTGCCAATTTTTATTATTACTACACCCCACTCCTTCACAAATTGATTATCTCTCAGGAACTCTACAAGCACAATTGACTAATCAATTCTAATTTAACAAAGCTGGGAGACCAAGAAGAATTCACAGACATTTGGTAACACTAGTATGAACTGATTCAGAGCAAAACGAGCTAGATCAAAAGTGAAAGACAAAGACCACAATAATGTAAAGGAAAGCAGCAAAAAAAAAATGCTTCAGAATTGTAGTCACTGCAGTAACCAATAGTGACTTCAGAGGACTGACATTGACCCATTTCCCCTAGCTCTTAGAGGGGTGGTAGACTACATATGTAGAACGCAGCGTGCATTCTCAGACATAATCAGCTTTAATTTGATTCACTTAACTGTACTTGTTACCGAGAGGGTTCAATTAGAAAGAAGGGGACGAGAACAGTCATAGAGAAGTGCCAGTGTTATTTTTAAAAGCATCAATAAAACTTTTTTTAAAAGGATGATTCTAATTTTATATACAGCAAAATAAAGTCGTAGGGAATTTAGGTGACTAGTCATTTTGGGATGAGAAAGTGGAAACAGTCTCTGGGAATAGCTGCAGAGTTAGGAACAGAAACTAGGTACACCACTTCTCGATCTTCTTACAAAAGCCACCAGTTTCTTTTCCTGAATATAGAGTGGTTACACTTTGGCAGCTTCTGAAGTACACGAGGGCTAATGGGGAAAGGATTTCATCTTTCATTGGGAGACTGACAGGTGAATGAATAGATTTCTAGAATGCTAAGAATGGTAGGAATCCCAAAAAGCCAACTAACCCATCTAACATCCTTCTAGGAAAGAGAATACTTCCAGGGTAGTTCAAAATATTTAACAACAGGCTCTCCAGGAGGAAAAAAAAAGTACTCACAATACATATTTAAGCTTAATCTGCATTTTTCGCATTTCCCCCATCACTTTCTGAAGTCTGAATAATCAACGAAACAATTTTTAAAAAGCCCTGATTTTTAGCATTTGCCAATTTCCAAGATGTAAATGCTCACCCTGAAATTTTAATAATCAGCTGTGGTGAGTAGGTTCACGGTGGTTCTAGAATACCCTGTACTATTATACAGCCATATGATGTCAAGATGATATTTATGTTATTTAGCCTGAAAAGGAAATGATAAAAAAAAAATTTCTTATTAACCTGTCCTGCTGCTTTAATGAGCCCTGCCATCAGAACATTTGTTTTTCATCTGATCTCATCCTGCAGCTTAAGAACATTTTCCTTTTATTTTGTCTTTAGTGGAGTTAGGAGAATAATGAAAGAATATTTTTTAATAAAAAGACTTCATGGACCAAAAGAAAATTATTCAGTCATCCCCAAGTCTTTTCTCTAAGGCTTAATACTTAATCCCTCTTCGCTGGCTGTATCTGCCAACTCTTTAATCACTGGATAGAAATAATCTCAGCTTACTGAGTAACAATTTTTCATTTTAATGAATTCCATCTTTAAACCTGAATGAACAGAACAATATTTTGTTACAAGGCAAGCAAAGATTATTGCCAGCTCATTTGTCACAGACCAAAAGAGTTTGCTGGGTATATGTGTGCCTTATGGTGACAAAGATGATAGGAGATATTTAATGCTGGAAGGGACCTTGAAGACCATCTTGTCCAACCACCTCATTTTATGGATAAACAAACTGGAACCCAAAGAGATTAAGTAACTTGCCCAAGGTCACACAGGTGGTAAGTGGCAGAAAAAGGAACTGAATCCAGGTCTGTTAATTGTAAATCCAGCATTCTTACCACTGTCCCACAAGATACTCAGATCTTGGGTCTTAAGCCATGTGTAACTTTTGCACATGTAAGATGAGGTGTTTAAAAAAAAAGTCTAATTCTTATATTAAACTAATGGGAAATTTTTAAGGGCACACGATAAGTCACATGACTTTTGATTAATGTTGATGGCAAAGGGGGCTTCAGAAGAACATAATTACTGCCCCAATTCTCCACTTCCAAATCTCTCCATCACTAAGTCAACCACAGTTGCAATTTTAGAGGAACCACCTTATCTTGATATACTAACAGCAGAACAGGAAGATAATTCCCAAGTATATATTTTTGGTAAAGTATATGGAATTCAATTCAATTCAATTCAACATTTATGAAGTGCCCCTATGTGTAAGGCACTGTGTTTGGTGCTAGGGATAGGAAGACTAAAGAGAAAAAAATAGTCCCTGGGCTCAAGGATCTTAACGTTCTCCTGAGATGATACCTGTAGCCAGGCACTAACCCTTACCATATAAGGAAACTATAAAGGACAGATGAGAGACAGAGTGTCATCATGGGTAGAGTGCTGGGAAAGGAATCAGGAAGACCTGGCTTGAAAGTTTGCCTCAGAAACTTACTTGCTAGTATAAGCATGCATATATGGTTGCCTGGGCATACCTTAATGAATCCAAAAAAATTAATATTTTGTTTATTGCTTAAGTAAAATTTAGTAGTTAATTTTTACAATTTAGTTGTTTTAGTTTCTTTGATAAATAAAAATAATATTCTTTATGACTGAATATTCCATAAATATTCACCTTAAAACAACAAAATTCCTTTAATATATACTCTAATGAAATATGCTGTATACTATGCTGATTCTGTGACCCTGGATAAGTACGTCACTTACTTGCTCTTAGCCTCAGTTTTTTTATTTATAAAATGGGAAAAATAGTGGCACTTACCTCACAGGCTTGCTGTGGAAGACCAAATGAAATTATACTTTACTTAGGTAAAGCATTTTGCAAACCTCAAAATTCTGCACCAATATTGGTTTTTATTATTCTATGTAAAGTGGCAGCTTTGGAGAGAAAGGGACAAATCTGAGGTATAAGAAACAATAGGACAGAGTGGGGAACCTGCGGCCTCATGTGGCCCTCTAGGTCCTCAAGTACAGCCCTTTGATTCAGTCAAAGGCCCTGAATTTGGTCAAAGGGCCGTGCTTGAGGACCTAGAGGGCCACATGTGGTCTCAAGGCCACAGGTTCCCCACCCCTGCCATAGGAGGCTTCTTGTAATGTACAGGGTTCAATTTTCTGGTTTTCTGTGACCTACAGTATGACACGACTAAGTTTAAATTAAGAAACGTTTCAGAATGGAAGAGTCGTATTTTTTCCAGACACTCACCATAGCAAGAAGAATGCGTACAGTTATGAAACTGTAATAGTCAAATGTAAAAGCCACTGCAACCCCCAGGCAGAACTGCCCAGTGCTTGTGAACCACATCACAAACCGCCTTCCTAACCTGAAAAATCACACAATGGAAGAAACAAAGCATTGGTATACAACGACATTAAACACCGACTCCACTTGTCATGTACAAATGTCACAATATATATTAATCAATAAAGAATGTGACAACCCCAGGACAGAGCTGGTACTTTGTTTCTAAAACAGGCTTACCCTTCCAATTTCTAAGAAAGCATTGCCTAATTGGATAATATACACATAAGAGAGCAACACATTATCTCTGACTTTCTCAATTTCTCTCTCTCAATCTCTTTCCTTCTCCCCCATTCTCTCTCTCACATAATTTCTCTCTCTGTGTGTATATATGTATGTCTCTGTCTCCATCCCTGTCTCTCTCTATATATATGTTTCTCTCTCTCTCTCTCTCTCTCTCTCTCTCTCTCTCTCTCTCTCTCTCTCTCCCTCCCTCCCTCTCTCTCCCTCTCTCCCTCACGCTCTCTCCCTCTCTCTCTCTCTTTCTCTCTCCCTCTCTCCCTCTCTCCCTTTCTCTCTCTCTCTCTGCCTCTCTCCTTCCCTCCCTCCCTCCTCATTAAAGAGGCTGTTCTTTGCCTCATTTTTCTACCTAGCCTTAATCACTAAATAGGTGTTGCCTCAGTCAAACTGAGACCTGCTAAAGACCTTGGCTTTAAAATGCCAAGGTCTTCCACCACATCTGGGGCCATCTCCAGGCATCCTGATGTGTATCTGGCCACTGGATTCAGAAGGAGGAAAAAGTGAGGCAGGTGACTTTGCACAGCATTCCCTCACTTAAATACAATTTCCTTTCATGTCATGGCATCACCTCCATGATATCATGGTCCTCTTTGAGAACAAAGGACAAACAACAGCAATAACATATGTAATTAGTTGCCAAGTGTTTTCAGTTCTATTGCCACAACCTCTCTTACCTCAGTTCCCCTTTCTATACTCTCACAGCCACCACGCTAGTTGAGGTCTTCATCAGGTATCATCACAATTATTCCAACAGCCTCCTAATTGATATCTCACCTTCAAATCTCCATCCTCTCCAATGCATCAGCCACACAGCTGACAAAGAAATTTTCCCAAAGCATAGACCACAAAGGTAAAATTACATAGTGGATATAGAACTAGACTCAAAGTCAGGAAAAAACTGGATTGAAACACTATTCAGATACCTCCTAGCTCTGTGACCCTGGGCAAGTCATTTAACTTCTCTCAGCTACAGTTTCCTCATCTGTAAAATGGGATAATAGCCCCTACTTCTAAATTGTTGTGCAGATCCGTTGAGATGACATAGGTGAAACATTTTGCAAACCTTAAAGCATTATATATGTTAATTATCATTATCATCGTTGCTCTCATCATTATTGTTATTATTATTACTATTATTGTCATTGTTATCATCATTATCATCATCATGTCATTCTCCTCCTCAATAAACTCCAGCAATTCCCTATTGGTTCTAGAATCAAGTATAAACTTGTCTGTTTGGCTAGTAAAACCCTTCCCAATCTGGCACCAATCTACCCTTCCAGCTTTCTATATTCCTGCCCGTCATACGCTCTACAATCCACCCAAACTGGCCTGTTTTCTGTTCCTTTCACAGGATACTCAAGCCTACATCTTTGTGCCTTTGTGCTTGCTGACTGTTCCCCAAGCATGCAATGCCCTCTCTCTCAACCTTCACATCTCAGAAATCCTAGTTTCCTTCAAAATTCAATTCAAGAGCCAACTTCTATATAAAGCCTTTCCTGATTTACCCACTGTTTCACCCTCAAGTCCTCACCCTCACTCACGCCACAAATCTAAACCACCGTCAGATCTTACCATTTTTCTCTTCATGACATTTCTCACGTACATCTCCTTCTCTCTTCTCATACAACTCCAACCCTAGTTCAAGTCCTCACCATCAACTCTCACCTGGATTATTGCATTAACATTTTAATTGGTCTCCCTGCCTCAAATCTCAGAATGAACTCCAATCCATTCTCTACTGAGCTTGCAAAGTGGTTTTTCTGCATTGTAAGAATGACCACATCACCTTTCCCACACTGACCTAACCCCCACTCATTAATCTCCAGTGGTTCATTGTTACCTCCAGGATAAAGTCCTCTGTTTAACATTTAATGCTTTTCTTAACCTTTCCATCTTTGTAGTCTCCCTGCATTTTACTCCCATTCACATACTTCATGATCTAGCTACACTGCCCTAGTTTCTATTTCTTGTATACAAAACTCCACCGCCTACCTCCATATCTTTGCACTGACTGTCCTCTATACCTAGAATGTTCTCCCTTTTCACCTCTGCATCTTAGCTTTTGTGGCTTCCTTCAAGACTCAGCTCAAATCCCACCTTCTCTATCCCTGAAGCTGCTAGAGCCTTCCTCTGTGAGATTACTTTCTATCTACTCTATCTATATTTGTTTTCTCTGTTAGAATGTGAACTCCCTGAGGAAGGGGACTGTTCTGTTCTGGCATCCTCAGAACCTAGCACATTGCTTAGCATGCTTAGGAACTTAATAAATGCTTTTTGAATTGATATAGTCATTTCAGAGACCTTTTACATAAATGAGATCCTACCTAATTTTAATAGCTTTTACTTTAACACTCTCTTCAATGTGGGTACTCGATACAAGGGTATCATGTCAGGGGTGGGGAACCTGCAGCCCTCTAGGTCCTCAAGTGTGGCCCTTTGACTGAATTCATACTTCACTGAATAGTTTCTAATTGGTCTCCCTGCCTCAAGTCTCAAGAATGAACTTCAATCCATTCTGTACTGAGCTTCCAAAGTGATTTTTCTGCATTGTAAGAATGACTATGTCACCTTCTCCACACTGACCCAAACCCCACTCAATAATCTCCAGTGGTTAACTGTTACCTCCAAGATAAAGTCCTCTGTCTAACATTTAACGTTTTTCTTAACTTTCCTATCTTCCTAGTCTCCCTATAGTCTGGATTCAGTCAAAGGGCCACCCTTAAGGACCTAGAGGGTCACATGTGACCTCGAGGCCACAGGTTCCCTACCCCTGGATACTTTCTTATCCTAAGTAGCACAGTGGATAGAACACTTGACCTAGAGTCAGGAAGACCTGAGTTCAAATTAGGCCTGAGACACTTACTACATGACTTAGAGAAATGTCATTTAACTTCTCTCTACACTGACCTCGCAGGGTTTGCTGTGAGCATAAAATGTGCCACTTTGGATAAGAAAGGATGTACCTTTGGACAGAGTACCCACATTGATGAGTTGACAGATCCATGGAAGTGTTCAAGTAAAAACTTTTAAAATTAGGTAGGATCTCATATTTAATACTGTTCCTCTTAGGTCTCATATAATAAGGACACTGAGGAAGATGGGACTAGGAAATTCATCAGTGACTATCTTACCAGTGTAAAAAGTTTAAATAATCCTAAATCACACTTCCTAGTAGATAAATCTGGGTGACAAACTTGGTGAAAGAATTGCTAGAAAAACATTTGAGCACACACTGAATGAGGGTGCAGAAGTTTGTACAGATATTGTATTGCAAAGGTATATCTATACTTTACCTATCTGAAAGATCACCAAAAATTACTGCTCCCAGAAGGACTCCAAGCATGAAAGTAGGTTGAATGGATTTTGCAAACCACTCCCGGTGACAGACCAGATCCCATTCAGTCACCACGGTGCTCTTCCACTTGGTCTGGTCATAAAAGTAGCCATCAGTGCAAGGAAAGTAAGATTTGTTACCATCATATTGGTATTCAAAATAAGGGTGCTCCCTTTTGGACCTGCTGCACTGTGCAAGTTCCCAAACATCTCCATTCTGCAGCTGCACTACCATATAATCCTCTTTGCCTGGTGTGAACAGCGCCCAGGCATCCTCTATCTTCAGGCTAGATGAATTATAAAAGAGGACCTGACTTATGTTCCCCAGGACCCCACAGGAAAACTTGGGGGTAACAGCCATGAACACAGAAGCCAAGTAATGGATTCCACAAGAGATGGTTTGGAAGACTGATGCAAAATAGATAAATGCCTGGAATCTGCAAGAGAGGAAAAGATGGTTAATAACTTCCCACTGAAACATAGAAGATCTCCCAAATCAGAGATACCTCTGGTTTGGAAATCAAATTTATTCTAAGGAGAAAGTCAGTCTCTAATGGTGGCAAATCAATTTATGGCAGTCAGGGGAGAACCCTTCACAGTTGTTCTGTCATTATTAAAGGAAAAAGAAGATATCTTCCCTATCAAGGTAGGCTTACCCGGAATTATTGAGGAGTCAAAGCCTGTCTTCACATTTTGTCTCCTCCACTAAGAGGAAACATCAATATTCTTTGTATTGATATATGTGATAATATTTGTCATCAATATTATATCTTTGACTCTTCTTACTCAGAGCCATTTCACCTCCAGTTCATAGAATCATAAATTTAAGAGTGAAAGAAAACTTAAAGATCTTTCATTTTACAGATGAGGAAACTATGGACAAGAGAAGTGAAATGATTTGCCCAAGGTTACACAGGTAGGGAAGGGGACAGCCCAACTTTGAACCCAGATTCTCTGACTCTAGACCCAGGTCTCTTTCCTCTGTACCACACTGTCTCCCATTAGGCTCCTGGTGGTCCCTTATTTCTTTCTCATGGAATTCTATAATTCTTGCTATGTCTCTCTTCTTTCCTCCCCTTCTCTAAATTCTTCTCTCCCCTTGAGTCTCCTTTTCCTTTTTCTCTCTGATTCCTTCTTTATTCCTCTTCCCCTCCCTGGAAGTCTCTCCATGCTTCTCAGTCTCTTTACCCAGCCTTTTTCTTTCCTTCAGCCTCTCTCTCTATTTCTTACCCAGGTATCATCATCATCATCATTACAATAATGTAACAACAGCTAGCATTTATACAGCACTCTAAGGTTTACAAAGTACTTTACATATGTTTGATTTTCAGAACAACCCCATGATAGCAATAATATTATCCCCATTTTATAGGGAAGGAAAGTGAATCTGAAAGAGGTTAAGTGACTTGCCCAGGATCACCCAGCTGATAAATGTCCAAGGAAGAATTTGAACCCAAGTCTTCCTGACTCCAAGTCCAACACTCCATCCACTATAACACCTAGCTATTATATAGAACTGAAGGATAGATTCTATCATGTGTGTATTTACTGAAAAGTCCTAAATAGTACAGATTGAAGCATATTTTTTCTTTATTTTTCTTGGGTTTTTTTTTGTGAGGCAATTGGGATTAAGTGACTTGCCCAGGGTCACACAGCTAGTAAGTGTCAAGGGTCTGTTCTGAGACTGGATTTAAACTCAGGTCCTCCTGACTCCCGGACCAATGCTCTATCCACTGTGCCACCTAGTTGCCCCTGTTCATTTGTTTTTAACAGCTTGGCTAATGTGGAAAGTATACAATACACAGGACTAAATGACCATAGTAATCTAGTGTTCAACAAACCCAAAGACCCAAGATTTTGGGACAAGAATTTGCTATTCGACAAAAACTGCTGGGAAAATTAGAAAGCAGATCAGCAGAAACTAGTAATAGATCAACATTTCACACCATATATGAAGATAAGTCAAACTGGGTACACGATTTAGACATGAAGGGTGATACCATTAGCAAATTAGGGGAACACAGAATAGTTTACCTGTCAGATCAATGGATAAGGGAAGAATTTATGACCAAACAAGAGATAGCATGACAGGATATAAAATGGATAAGTTTTATTACATTAAATTAGAAAGGTTTTGCACAAACAAAACCAATGCAGCCAAGATTAGAAGGAAAGCAGAAAACTGGAGGGGGGGGAATGATTTTACAGCAAATTTCTCTGATAAAGACCTTATCTCTCAACTATATAGAGAACTGAATCAAATCTAAAAGAATACAAGTCATTTCCCAATTAATAAGTGGTCAAAGAATATGAAAGGTAGTTTTCAAATGAAGATATCAAAGGTATCTGTAGTCATGAAGAAATGCTCTAAATCACTATTGATTAGAGAAATGCACATTAAAAAAACTGAGGTACCACATCACACCTATCAGATTGGCTAATATGACAGAAAAAATGACAAGTGTTGGAGGATATGGGAAAATTTGGATTCTAATGCATGTTAGTGGACTTGTGAACTGATTGAACAATTCTGGAGAGCAATTTGGAACGATGACCAAAGGGGTATGAAACTGTGCATACCCCTTGACCCAGAAATAGCACTACTAGGTCTATATCCCAAAGAAATTTAAAAAAAGAAAAAGACAAAAATATCTATAGCAGCTCTTTTTGTGGTGGCAAAGAATTAGAAATTGAGGGGATGCCCATCAACTGGGAAATGGTTGAATATGTTGTGGTACATGAATGTAATAGAATACTATTGTGCTATAAGAAATTATGAGCAGGCAGACTTCAGAAAAACCTGGGAAAACTTATATGAACTGATTCTGAGTGAAGAGAGCAGAACCAGGAGAACATTGTACACAGTAACAGCAATATTGTAAGATGATGAAGTATGAATGACTTAGCTATTCTCAGCAATACAATAATCCAAGACAACTCTGAAGGATTTATGATGAAAAATGTTATCCGTCCCCAGAGAAAGAATGATGGAGTATGAATACAGATCAAAGCATACTTTTTAAACTTTAGTTTTCTTGGGTGGTTTTGTTGTTGGTCTATGTTTTCTTTTACAACATGATTAATATGGAAATATGTTTTGCATGACTACACATGCATAATCTAGATCAAATTACTTGCCTTCTCAATGAGGGGGGTGGGAAGAGAGAGAGAATTTGGAACTAAGAAATTTTTAGAAGAATGTTAAAAATTGTTTTTACATGTAATAGAGGGAAAATAAAATACTAAATTAAAAAAGAAAAGGTATTGAAACCATCCTTAAAGACTAAAGATGAAATATGCTACCTCCCGACAGAGAGGTGATGAACTCAAAATGCAGAATGATACCTTTCTTTTTTGACACAGTCAAATAACAGAATTTGTTTCACTTGACTATGAATACTTATCTAAGGGTTTCATTTTTTTTCTTTTTTGTTTAATTGAGAGTAGGGAAATGGAGGGAAAGAGAATAAATGCTTTATAATTGACCAATCTTTTTTAAAAAACCATTCTCAAATCTTCATTGTCTCTAGGGACTAAAATTTGGACCACTGACATAGCTATAACTTCCTGATTTTCTTAGTACAAAAAAACCAGCATACAAGAAAGCAGACAATCTCAAAGTTCCTTTGAAACTCTAAATCTATGATCCTATAAGAATTACAAAAATACACCAGCATTATAAAGTGTTTCCTCTGCAGTCAATACAGTAGTGATGATGATGGTAATGATAATATAATAGGTTTGTGCCAAATTCATCTATATCATAAGAAAGAAATAATGATACTTTGATGACTTTGAGCTAAAGGTACAAGAACTACAGCTAGCAATTCTGGCATCTAGGGCATGTAGAACAAAGAAAATGCCATCATGTCAACTTTGTAAGTCATGATGTGAAAATAATAGAAAGAACCATGACAAACCCAACTCAATGATAGGTGAGGACCCAGAACATTTCCATCTAGGGGAAAGAGGCCCCAAAATGCATGTTCAATCAAAATATTAATATAATAAAATTATATTTTGTTACTATTAAATTTAAATTATCCAAAGTCATTTTAAAAGTTTTTATGCAAAACTAGTAAAGCTACAATAGGAAAGGAAAATCTTTGTATCTCACACATATGTGTGTATATGCATGTATATATATATAATATATATATATATATTAGATATCAAAGCTTTATCAGAAATGTTGGCATCTATGAGAATATGAGTACAAGAGCTACTTCACAATAGATAAATGGTCCTCAAGAGATATAAAATGGGCAGTTTTCAAAAAAAGAAACGTAAGCTATCAACAACCATATAATTCAATGTTCCACATCACTAATAAAAGAAAATCAAATTAACCTCATATCCATTAGACTGGTAGAGATGACAAAAGATGAAAATGGGCAGTGTTGTAAGGATTATGGGAAAACTAGTACACTATCAATAGAGCTGTGAACTGATGCAAAAATTCTGAAAATCAATTTGAAATATAAAGAAGTGATACAGAACAAAATAATCAGAATCAGGAGAACAACGTACATGATAACCACAATTCTGTTATATTTTTTTAAAATGAAAGACTTTAACATTTTTATCACAGTGACCAATTATGACTTCAGAGTCCTGATGATACAGCATGCCTTCTGCCTCTCAGCAGAGACAGTAGGCTATAGTTACAAAATGAGGCAGACATTTTCAAATATAGCCAACTTAGTTAACATTTTGCTTATTACTTCTTTGTTACGAAGGAAGGTTCTATTATGGGCAGGGGGATTGTAAGAGTTTCTGGAAAATGATAGCAGTCCTTTTCAAAAGAGCATCAATGAAGCATTTTTTTAAAATGTAAATTTAACAAAAATTTAAATTGCATACTCTTTTAAAATCATTATTTTAAATTTGCATTCCCTCTAAATGTTAGTACCCTGGAGCAGGGATCTGATTACCCCCATTCTAGTAACAGCTCTGAAAGGTACTACATATAAGTCAAAGGTACAATATCCATTATTTTTATGTTTCCTGGACTCAATTTCCATAAGCTACCCTGTCGGCTGGATAAAACTGCATAGAAATGAAAGAAATGATACTTGTTCAGTTTCAGCAATGTCAGACACAACTTCTGTTGCCCAATCTAATGCCTATGTTAAACCTTTTCTTAAAAAGATCACATGAACCTTTTGAGAAACCTCCCAAAATGATAGTCTACTATAATTTCATCTTCATTTCCAAGTTTTGCTCCTTTATGAAACAGATTTATGAGTCAAATTGGTAATATGCTTGCTCTTTAACCCTAGGGTAAACTAGTTCAACCTCCTTCATTTTACAGGTGAGTGAGGTCAAGAGAGGAGAAATGACTTACCCAGCGTCATACACAAAATAAACGCCAGAACTGACACTAGGCACATTGTCCTCTGACTCCAAATCCAGTACCTTCTCTCTGACTTATATT